CTCAGATCGTTCAAATCGCGCTGCTCTAATCGCGCTTGAGGCGCCGCAGAACTTCCCGACGTTGCTTGAAGCGCGTCCACCATAGACTTTGCATTTTAACCTGAGGCTCCTGATGCTGAAATCGCGTGCGGTGTGAACGCACCATTAGTCAGCACGTGTCAACCTCCAGACACACGACGGAGCGTATCTGAGCCAATCACTTTTGCTGGCATTGATCAGCTGACTGATTTAAATACGTCTTAACATTCATGAGGTACTTTACATTGACTGTTTATGGTTGAGTGTGGGCGTGTAGAGGGTAGAACCTGAGGCGGGACCTTGTGCGCAAACTCTGACGTGCAGCTGTGATTTATAAAGGAAAGATGTGCAGAAACGTACGTACGCACGGTTTTATAAATCTGAATATTTTTTGGCGTACGCCATTTCCGCCTTTTGGCCGTACGTTCACTTTTAGTATGGTTTCCACGCAATCCTTTATAAATGAGACCCCTGGTCTGTTCTGGTCTTACCTTTGATAAATGATAAAACTAAATATTTACTAATTCTCTTTTCCTTCTTTCTTAATCTAAATCTTGCCATACGTTAAAATGCCTGTAAACTAGTTTTTATAACATCAGAGACTGGTTTACTGTTTGTTCAATCCTGAGTGTCACAGTTCAGTAGTTGTCTTGGACGCAAAACAATTAATGGAATGTTTGACTCAAAGTTTGATTATAAATCTTTAATTGTATATAGTTAAGTTCATTTGTCTGTAAATAAATAACTTTATTTTTAGAAAACTGAACTGGACTGGAACTACAAATTGTCTTTTTCTCACTTCCACTCTGAGAGGTATTGTCTTTCATAAAAGAACTCGTGTTTCCTCAGTAATTGAGAAGGTGTAGAAACTCTGGTGGACAAGTACTTACACATATATGAGGAAGTATTGAAATTTGTTGTGGTAGTACATTAGCAAAAAAATCTGTCATAATTTACTCCAGTGTATAACGTCCACTGGTAGTGTCTGTGACAGCATGGAGGAGCAGAAATGGGGTCTAAAAAGGGCAACAGCTCACAGCCACCACAGAAGCTAACAGATGAACAGCAAGCTGAACCGGATCTGTTTCACAGATTATCTGTCATGTTTTTACAATAAATAAATAATGATGTTAATTTCATTCAACAATCATGTAAAACAGCAGATTTATACCAGAAAAATATATATTTTATAAGTAAATGATCTAAACCAGACCTGAAGTCAGCCTGTAACTTAGACTTTATCTAGTTGAAAAATGATGACTTCAGCTAGAAATAAAGTATATTTAATATTTCTTCTTACTGTCATGAACAATAAGAATATTTATATTTACCAGTCAAGTTAGAAAATGTTCTCTGGTTATAGGATGAAACTTGTCTCTATTAGCTAACCATCTTCTCAACAGGTCAGGTTCCTCTAACAGAAACCTAAAAATACTTACATTTATAATATTATTTTAGGTCTAAATATTAATC